AACCCCCAAACTAACTAACTATCCCGCCCCTTGAAACGACGACGACGATGACGATCAAGTGTAGTATCTGTTCCGATCAGTTTGATATCTGACCCGTGCACCATCGGGCGATCTTTATTAACAAAACAAAAAAAAAACATGGAAAAACAGCGCGCAGCAGAGCGAGAGCAAGCGAGAGAGAGAGAGAGAGAGAGAGAGAGAGAGAGAGAGAGAGAGAGAGAGAGAGAGACCCCAAACAGTAAAAAAAAATAAAAAATCAAGGCTATCAAAGATCAAGCAGCAATTCATCAACTGTGTCAACAACAGTGCACCGGTGAGCCCAAAAACCAACCACACCCCGCCACAAACCCCCAAAGCCCCCAAAACGTACGGCACACAACAGGTGAGTCCTATTCCGATTAACACTTACCCACCAAACCCGACAGCCAAAACAGGAATCACAGAGGTAGGCCTCAAAAAAATGCAGGGAAAAAAAAAAAGTTGTCTTTCCACAGGTTTCTGAGATCAAGCAGCAGTGCATCAACACACTCAACAACACTACACAGGTGAGTCTTAAAAAAAAGCCGACCCTCTTGGGTGGTGGCAAGAGTTCAGCCTCATTCTTCAGTGAGCAAGTTTGGCGACACGCTGCTGGAGCGCTGGCTGGAGTGGCGCTGGGTACTACAGCGCTGCTGGGAGGAAGAAGCCGGGAGCTTCCACCTTGGCTATGGTGGAGCTCTACCGGTAGGAGGAGGAGGGAGAAGAGGACCAAGGAGGAGAGTGGTAGGGTACTTACCTTGCTACGGCAGATACCATCTTCATCACTTTGTTAGGCGCTGCATCTGGAAGGCCCCAGTGGGGGTAGTGCCGCATCAAGGAGCTCGGGGCAGAGTCAGGCATGGCGGTTGAGTGGGCAGCGGCATAGCCGCATGGTGATGACCTTGAAGTGGGGCAGCGACATAGCTGCTTTGGGTTGTCCTTTGGACAGGAGGCTGAAGCCTCAGTAGTCCGCCATAGCCTCCGCCTGTACGTAGAGGAAGAGGAAGGGTGGCGATGGCTATGGTGGACCTCATGTTGTGCCTGCAGTAGAAGTGGGATTCGGACATTGATTCTGGTTCAGTCATTCAACATTATTATTGTTATTTCTTGTTTGAATAAGAGGGGAGGAGATAAGGAGGAAGAGATTGGTTGGCGAAGAAGAAGAGCCTTGACATTGGTCTATGCTGGAGTACATCATCTTCTTCTTCTTTCTCACTTCTTCTTCTTCTTCTTTCCCTCTCTCTCCTCTCAAGTTCATTCATTTCTTTTTGCAATTGGATTGCATTGTACTTTCAGATGAATGTATACTTCGAAATTGGCCAGGATCGTAACAATTGTATCAAATTCCGCTTTTCTATTATGGCGCATAGCACAGACTAGGATCAGACAACACGTATGCACTAGCCTATCCAACTATGCGATCAACATGGTCTTCATCAAGTTCAGATGCCAGATGACAGATAGAGACTTCGGCTTCACCGACCTACACCACCATCACCAGGTAAGCGCCCAATCGTCCTCTACCCATCCTATGTCCTCCTTGCCGAGGACCACCACTTCACCCCCTTCCAGCGTCGCCCAGCAAGCGGCCTGGCTATGACCGATGCCCACCTAGCTGCGCCCAGACAGCTTTCACCGTGCGCCTTGCCAGCGCTTTCAGCCCCAGCTCAGCAAGCCTCAGTGCACGCGGAAGCGAGTGTGCAACGCAGCAGCGCTTACGACAGAAGCGCCCCAGCCAGAATGTATCTCCACCGCCCAGGCACTTTCCTATATGGAATCTGGAAGGTGCCTGGACACGTGCATGCGCTACCCAGTTGCTACCGGGTCGTGTCCAGTCTGCGCCCAGGGCTTTTCAGGAATGCGCCCTGGGCCCCATCATTCGGTTGAGGGCTTAACTGCCCCCGACGTGGAAGGCACTGTTCCTTGCTCTTTCATTTGGCCGAGAGGCCTTGTGCGACGTGTAGGCATAGGGTGCGACGTGCAGGTAAGTCTGAAGGGCGTGGCCACAGTCGGCCTGTGCTCCACTAACTGTCTGGTGCGAAAGGCCCAGATTTCAACCCCCAAAATGGACTCAGAGAAGCACAGGGGCTGAAACATTTTGGCCTGAGGCGTTTGGGCCCTTTTAGACGACGCTACCACGGGCCACATGCTTTGCTCAAATCCCGAAAAAAAAAAAAAAAACAAGCACAACAAGGAGATGGACAAAACAGGATGCAATCACCACAGGAATTGGACCTGCAGAGAGTCGGAACCTGGAGATAGCAGGGCAAAGCAACCCACCAAACAATAAGGAACCGAAAAAAAAAAAAAAAAAAAAAAAAAAAAAAAAAAAAAAGAGAGAGAGAGAATGAAGGGGACAACAAAGGTGTTGGGATAGGAATAAAACCGTGCTGAAAACTTCAAAAAAGGCAGAGTGCCAAAAAGGATTGAAAATGAGTTTAAATAACTGACCTTAGTTC